GATCAGTATCGTCGACCCTGAATTTTACTTGGTATCGGATCGGAAAGGAAGTCAGTGGTATCGCACATCACTAGCCATCACCCTAATCTAGAGACTTAAAATAGAGGCATGCACCACACCTGTTTTATTTAATATCTGAAGTAAAGAAATGCCAGAGGAACGTGTGCTGCAGCAGGGACCCATGGAAAAGTGTCAGGACACTGGAGTTTGACTCCTTGCAGTACATTTCTACACTCTGACTTCAACCACCACTTGCACCATCAGTTTTCTGATGGTCACACTTTCCATACATTGTTGTTTCTGAAAGACTCCAACTCTGGAGGGATGTTCGGCCTCCTCATTTAAATGCCACAGAAATGACAAACCTTCTCATTTAAAGATTGGTGTGAACAGGCACATCCAAGAAAAACATTACACAGAGCGGCAGCACGGTGCACCTTTGTGATTATGGTACTCATGGTATGTTCACACTGATTATTCTGCATCTCTGACCTGAGCAGGATACACTAACATTACATGATGCCCCACAATATGACCAGACTTCTGACAACACCAGCAGACAGTTTTTCTGAAGCATCGTGTTGGTTTGTAGGAAGTTGTATTTATTGAGTTTTCTGCTGGGAGTCAGGTAGTGTGACTCAATGTGAGGATTTACTAGAGAAAGCCTCATTTTGACACTTTCATCATGTTGCCACGCTCATCTGTCCATGTTTGTGATTGGTTACTTGTTGCCAAGCCTTCATAGTAAAGGACACATTTAGTCAACGCTGAATTAAGTGACGTGTAATATTAACAAAGTATTTTGCAAGTGCAACTCAATGAACGAGACAAAGCCTGAGTTTCTTTGATATGTAGACCAGGGAAGGAAGAGTCCAGCTCTAACCAACCCAGATAATTTCAACCCGTCCTAACCAGTTTAAACCAGATCATGGGTTTAATTAACTGGGTTTGGATTTAACGAGCTCACTTCTGACCAGTTGAGAGTATCAATTAGCCAAGACGATTTCAACAGAGCTCAGGGACAAACGGGTCCAAATCAGATGACCCTGTACAGGTGGATCTGTCTGAGAGCATCGGGGTCTGTGTCTCTGCCCAGGTAGACGTCGTAGTTGACAGGAAGCTCCTCCACCCAGTCAGGCTGCAACACCTCCTGTTTGACACAGACACAAACACACTGAGGAACAGACCAAGAACGGCTTTGTTCATGATGTTAGCAGTCACTTCATCCATGAGAGGAACAAACTTCATGCATCTGTCACAACATGAGAAACACTTTTTACTGTCCACGTGTACGAACTGCTAACATCAGCCGAGTGTCACCTGCAGGGGATCCAGACTCTCGTGCAGACTGGGAACAGTGACCAGCAGAGATCCCTTCTTCCGGAAATTCTGCATGATGAACTTCCATGCCCTGAAAACAGAAAGTCATCATAGCTGTGTGCATCTGACAGAGCAGACAGAAGGGAAGCCAAAACCAAGGTTTTCTACATCAGGACATAATGAAACACATATGGTCTTTGGCAGGTCTCCATGTAGTTGTCTTAAGGTCCCACCTGAGAGTTCAGTCAACTTTGACTGGCACGTGGATTCTTTTCATGAATTCTCAGCAGATTGAGAACAAACTGGACTGTCAGACCAGAACAGAGGTCGCAGGTCTGCTCTGGCTGCACGACGAACCCAAATCCTCACGTGTTCGTGCCAGTGTGCTGTGTTTGGGTTTAACTATTTGTACTGCTGTGGACTACAGACACACATCTCCACTTTGGTCTCACCTGTCCAAAGCACATTGTTCAAATGAAGTTTGCAAACAAAGCCATGTCACCATGTGTTTTTAAAGAGAACACGCTTGCCTGCCCTGCACATTCAGTCTTTTTCCACCTGCACATGAACTTTTCAGCATGCTTAATGGAGTCCTCTACTGTCTGAGATAATCCTCTTCCCAGACTAATGGGCAGTAACTGTTGTTTCTCTGCTGCTGACAGTTTTCATCCTTGGCGGCAAACACACACCTGAAAGTCACAGTCATGCAAACTGCCCGAGCTGCTTGTATAGAGGCGCTCACACCTGCTCATCACCTGATACTAGTTCACGAGCAGCACCGAGCTGCCTCGCACTCTTGGTTCCTCTGGAAGCAGAAAGACTGAATAAGCTTTTATTAAAAACAAAAACAACGATGTGCCATGTTTTGTAGTTAGGTTGTATTCTGTTCAGTATAAGACCTGCGAATGAGCTGAGGAGTTTTATTATGTGCTGATGAAACTTTCCTATTACCATCACTGTTTCTGTTGC